CAGGTACACAGCTTGATTGAGAAAACAAGCGTACGAGCATCAAAAGTGCGAAAGCTTTGGAAAGTACCTAATTTTCAGGCACAACTCTCTAAAACCAATATTACTAATACATGATTTAATACAAAACCAGAAAAGTTATTTAGGTGAGTAGAGGGATGAGCAATTGCAAAATACACCCATGACACGTTATGAGTTGCAGTACAATTACACATTTTCCACTTTTAGAAAAGACTTTGTAAGTTTATTAAGCACATACAAACGCATATCAGCAACATTAGCCATGTTTCTATAAAACTGTAAAGCGAATTTTGAGTGAACTTTTAAAATGTCGCAAAAAAGAAAAAAAAGACAAAGAAATGTGAATTAGACGTTTGCATCTACTGTGTTGGAGTGAATAAATCAGATTATAAAAAGTGTACTTTCAGACGTTGACAATGCACATGGCTGTATAGGAAGTAGAGGTTGCAAACTAGAAGGGACCACATGTCTCAGGACAATGGAGAGAAGTTTTCAGGAACGTGTTGCTGTAGGCAAGTTGTAAAGGTTCTGTCAACTAGTACTGGCAATGTTACATGCTGTCTGGATCTGTTGTTGCTTTCGGGCATGTCTTCGAACGTTATGGGAATATCCAGGAAGTCACTGACAGCGGGAACAGCTGATCAGTCACGTGAGGTAAATGTTCGCTACGTCAGAACTTATTTGGCAAATGCGTTTCTAGTTTCCCTTTCGTGAATTAATAATTTTTCGGAAAATAAAAAAAAAAAAAAAAAAAAACCACCTCAAGTGTGCGTTAAAAAAACCATTTTGCCAAATTTAGGACATTTTTCTGAATTTTGTAGTTTCCATCGTTCTTTTCTAATACTTCAAAATGTTCATAAAACTTTAATGGAAACACGGCTAATGTTAGAGGTTCTGAGGCCATATACCATTTGTGTGCAATAAGTTGATTTCCAAAATTTACAAGTATTCTACTTCAAAAATTAAATATGCTGAGCCTCAACTGCAGCAAAGAAGGTCTGGGCTTATGTTTGTCAGCCTGCTGTAACTACATCTCAAAACTAGCCCACTTCAACGGCAGTCAGAGCAGCTGATGTGCTAATTCAAGGCCCTGAAGCACTGCCGCTATCATCTTTTCATTAGCTTTATCCATGTTACAAATAGAACATTTAAAAAATTCTGTGTGGTGCACAGACTCTCCGTCATGTCCAGCAACAGAAAAATGCACCTCTAATGAGTCTTCAGTAAATGCTTTCACTGGAAAAAACGAAATTCAATAATATATTAACATTAAGTAGTAAAAAGGTTAATGTGGTCAGATTTTAAGACGCAGCAATGAGGTCAATCTTTCTCCAGCTAACATCACAATGCCAAGTGTTTTTAAACATATTACAGACAGTCATTAATTAATGTGTTGGCTCGTGAAGCGTGGCTGTTCCAAGCCATTCATCACACGCAGGAAATTGACAAGTTATCCGTGGATATGTCAGAGGGAGATCAGTTTTGATTTTGCATCAAAGGGATCAAGCATTGCTTCATTTGTTTAATAAGCATCACTTTATTTCCAGTGTCTTTTGTGTGCACTGAGCTGATAGTTTACACAAAGGATACAAAAGGTTCGATTTTAACAGGGTCACAGTGCACTGGGGAAGTTCATCTTCAAGCCAAGTGTTGTTTAATGGCTTCCTCCTGGTGTACATCAAGTCAGAGTTTCAGAGGAGGCAGCGGAGAACATCTGTCCTGAATACACAGGGCTTTTGTTCCACACAGTCACCCTGTCAATCAATCATGTACTGGCGTGTCACTGACATATTACCAGTGGTTACTCGACCACCTCTGAAGACTCACTCCAGCGCCGGTTTGGGGGTGAATGTGCAAGCATCGGCCCGCGCATCTACATTTCTACGTGTCTACAGAAAAACAGAGATGACAGCACATCTATTTTTAGTCCAGCACACCAAGTTCTGCTGCTGTGTTGTTGCTGCTTTGTACCTAGGACAAGCAGCCGGGTCATCCTCTATGGAGTGCACCGGGAGAGCTCCGGCTGTGCTCTCTGACCCTCCCCCTCCAGCTCCTACATTAGTGGGAGAGGCTTACAAGAATCCTGGGTGGTAGTTAGGGAGGACTATCGGCAAAAAAAAAAGATGCTTTCTTGACAGATTCCTTGTTCATCCACCTCTTTTTCCTCTCCAGTGACTAATGGGCTAATAATTCAACTGTCACACTGGCACATTATCATGTGCTTTCTCGTGGGAATACTACCCTTAAAGCATCTCTTCTCCGAAACAGATTCCCGAACTTGTGAGGCATACTGATGAATACAAACACGGGAAACCCACACTGCTGTAAAGTTGTGAGGAAATCCCCCAAAGATGAAATGATAGATGGAAGTCAAACACGCTGCAAGAAGGAAGCTTTCATCTCTTTATGTCCAGTTACTCATACAGCTCTACGTAATGCATTCTTTAATCTGAAGCACAAACAATAAACTTTTGATTTACGAAGAGTCTGTAATTCCACCACAAGTTCTATTTCCAAAGATGTCCTAACTTACAGCCTTTCTGTTACATTTAATAAATGGTTGTTCAATAATGTAATCCAATCCCTTAGAAAATCAGCTTTAATAACCACCCATATATAGCTACTATAATAGTCCCATCACACGTAGTTTAACAGCTTGTCATTCAGAGATCTGGGTGTGTGGAATAAACAACAAATTAAACACATTATGCTTGTTTAATAAGCTTCTACTCGACTTCACACTGTCCAGGGTAACAAGGGAATCATGAGTATCGAGTGTGAAACAGTTGCAAGTGTTAATTTGGCTACTTTAGAAAAAAAATGGGTATAAGAATTCATACTAAAACCTAACAAATGGACTTGTAATAGATTTGAGTGCTTTGAAACCTGATGTTAGGTGGCAGACTCTGCTCTTTTTGTTCTCCTGAGCAGAGGAGGTGGACATGTGGCTGGGACTCAGGGGCCAGGCCCTCCATCCTTCCTGTTCAGTTACCAGAGGCCTCCCACTTATCAGTTCCAGATCTCACAAGAACAGAGAGAAAAGGAGACCACTGACAGGAAGGGGATTTTTTCTCCCCCCTGTTTCCTTTAGAGAAGTTAACAGAATGTCTGCACCTTCACATTTCACAGAGGAAAGCAGTTACTCATTAGGGCTTGCACTAGAGCTGCAAACGGAATAAGACCAACCTGGCAATCTCCAGATACTGTATCTCTTAAATAAACCCTGAAAACTGATTCATCGTCAAACAACTTGTTAACAGCTATCCTAACTGCAAAATAAATTAATAGCATTATAATTCTTAGCGGCAGCTTTTAACAGATTTTTGGCTACCAGCCTTGCAGTTTATTTTTCTTGTAACTCCTGCATCAAGCTACATTTACCCCTACAAAGGCAACAGACCAAGTGAAAAGTCTGTCACTGATGGTGAGAGAACGACTTTGAAGCACTCCTGTCATGCCCCTGTTTGTGTCGCATCCCCGTCTGCTTTGCTTGCGATCACTGTCTACCTCGCATGGCATTTCCACAATAATCACTTTGGTTTATCCCACTCGGCTGCGTGGCAGGCAGATGTTTGTCAGGGCACCATATTTCTCAGCATTCGCGCATCTCTAATCAAGATTAACCCCTCTTATCTATTCCCTGAGAGTGTGTGTGCCCTGGATGTCCTAATTCCTAATCCATGACGGTATTGTATAATACAGTGAACAATCCTATTACATTCCATTTTCTCTAAATATTTCTCTATTTTAGTGGAACATACACTGCATATTGCAGATCGTTAATGAAAAAGGTAGTCATGACCTCGTGTGTGTGTGTGTGTGTGTGTGTGTGTGTGTGTGTGTGTGTGTGTGTGTGTGTGTGTGTGTGTGTGTGTGTATGCAGGCCTGGAACATAAGCACTTTGTTACTCAGCACCCCCACCCCCCAGGAGCTCCTGATGAAATCAACATGTTCTGCTAACAGAGCCGACACTGGCCACACACAAACTGCAGCCATCACATGTTTAACAAAGACATTAGAGTATGGGGGAGGAAAGACGGTGTCTGAGCAGACAAAGCTGCCGATTTGGGCCCCGTTTACAAGCGAACGATCTCAAGAAACGTCAGCGTTTTCCAGTGACTGTGGAAAAGTTACACGTTTTCTCGGTTAATGCAGAGTAATACAGCACTTTGCTATACGCACATTTTTACTGTTGCACATCTACTCTGCGTTTCCAAAAACCTCACCTCTGAGACAGGAAATCAAAATGCTTCAGCGTCGCTGTTGCTGTGATGAGTGACTGAAACATGACAAAAATACTATAGTTTCACCTAAAAACAGTCTCACGTAAACAGGGTCTTAATAATTGAACAGAGTCAAAATCCCAGAGCATTTACAAAGATTTACATATTTTACTATTCCTTTGTCAGTCGTTCCCATCATTTCATACAAACTGTCTTGAAAATACAGATTCTTGATGTGCTGCCATTTCACTATATTTAACACCAGACACTTGCTTTTGATGAGGAATATTGTACATAATATGTAATTTCTGATGCACAAAATACTTAATTGTTTGGATCAGTTCTACACTATCACCTAATGATTCCCATGATCAGTAACAGCACAGCGTTATTTAAAGAGAGTAAATTTTTACATAGTTGTAAATCCTTATACAACTGGTCAACAACTAAATAATCTTGATTTGCTGTAGCGTAGACATTTATTTGCTAGTTATATCCACAGCTTAAGGATACACAAGGTAAAAACAAAACTGCGTCAGCTCCAGCTTTCACAAGCGTGTTTGCATGTAACAGATGTAATAAATTATTTTATTGACATTCAGTAGCAACAGTTCAGTAGCAAAAATGGCTAGCTTTCCAACAATAAACTTCAGTTCCTATGTTCAATGTGAGAGCACAAATTTAAATGAGTGAGTGCACAATATAATCTCCCTGACCTCAGCTGGGCCTTTGACTTTGAATACAACTCAAAAGACTTACCTGTGTTGTTTTCAACCCTTGATTTGTCCCCAGTAAGGACCCCCCCACCCATTCAAACACCAAGTGGAAAAACACTCCAGCAGCTCGCAATTTCTGGCCCTGAAAAAGAAAAATAATAATAATCAGAGGAAGACATCAATCATCGCTACTTTATCCACCAATCTCCAAACACTAGAATATTACATTTGCATATTTTCCCCTGAAAATCAAGCCCACTCAGTGACTTCACTTCTTACAAATTCCTTTGGGTTTTTGAGTGGCTTCCATCTGCGCCTGTGATACTCTTCTACCCTGCACGGATAAGCTCCTTCACGCTCTCGTGCCCACGAAGGACGAATCAAAAGAGCAGCCGATACTTCACATGATCGGCGTGCCATCATAAACATCCACCACAGGGTAAGTTCACTGCTCACTGGCACCGTCACAATTCACTCCCGCTTGACAGAGGAGCCCAATAAAACAAGTAATTGCTATAGCTAACCACTTTGCCAGAGGAAAGGGGCTTTTAGCATTTGGACCCAAATCACCATGTTACGCACACAAAGGGTAAATGATCAGATATAATCCAGTTAGAGTGTGAACTGACCAGAGTATAACATAGCACTAAAACCAAAACATTTCAGATCTAAACTGAGAAGAAATCACTAACCTGGGTTAAATAAAACTAGATGTCAAAAGTTTAAAGAACGATAAAGAATGATACAAAGGATCGATTTTGAGCCATGAATTTAATAAGTATTTTATTGGTGTTTAATCTGGCTCATAAATAAGCATGTGTGAGTAATAAACACTTCTCTGATCAGCGTGAATATCATTTTCATCAGTCATTTGCTTGGTGACACATAACGTTCCAGCCATTTGTTTGCCGAGCCAGAACTCCTCCGGTTTCTCCTGATCTCATGCTCGAGTTGAAATGACAAGGTTAATGTTCCAAATATAAAAACTGTCTAAACAACAAGGTGTATTTTCACATTCAGCAAGAGAGGGCGGTCCCCTCGCGCTTTTTTTCCCTTTTCTTTTTTTAAATCCTCTTTCCTTATGACTGGAAGATTTTTCAAGCTGCATTTCTCCCCTGCTGGAAGTGGCGCTCTATGAAAAGAGAAAGTGGAGGAGTGCTGGCGGCTCAATGGGTCGACCGAGGGGAGGGTGTGTGTGTGTG